TCTACAATGTGCTGACACCCCTTAGTAACCACACTTACATGTTTTTAGTTCAGTATTAAACACTCAAACCATACTCTCTTTCTTGTGGTAGAAGAAATAGGATGTAGTAGTAAGTGTTGCTTGATGGTGAGGCGACTAGACTTTTTTTTAAGACCCAGTTTTCAGAGATACTGGATGGACATGGCCCTCTCTGTATATCCTGATAAACTGAAAGGAAGTCTGCTTTTCTCTGACAAGGCTCAGCTCCCTCTGTCAGCAACAGGCTGTAACCGTGATAGTATATTGAAGGGAAAAAAAACATGTTTTGTTTTTCTTAGGGCTGAGAGGATGAACTTTAGGGCACATCCCGCTATCTTAGAGAGAAGAGTATCTACACCCTGAGAATTACAAACTGACTAAGATACAATTGTCAGGATGGATGCGGATAATAGTAAGTAATCTATTTGTTGTTGCTGTTTAACCTCTTTTACATACTTACGTACTTATTGTTGTTGTTGCTACTTCTACCAACACAAGGAGACTTGCGTCGTTTTTTGCATTAGTTAATATATGATGCATTAATCTGATGTCAAATCAAACCAAAATAAGATACAAAATATATTTGTTTATACTGTCGTCGCTTTGTGTCTTTTGCTCTTCATTATGCCATATTGTTGCTTTAACAATTTATCATCATATTGTATGACCAATACTTCACATTTCACATTTAAAAAAAAATATTTTCTTATATTAGAAGCCATTATCCAAGAGACTCACTGATATGTACTGTATGCAAAGTCAACTCAAGTCAATTCATTATATTGTCGATGTAGTGCAATAGTACCTTATGAGCAATTGTTGCTGCAGTATGTTATGCATGTATGTAATTTATGTTATGCAGTATGTTGCTGCAGGGTGATATTTTAACAAGAAATCGCAGTACTCAACTGTCAATGATATATTCAAGATTCTATATTTTTTAGCAGTGAATTTACCCGCCAACACATATCTTGGCCAAAATTAGTAAAAACACATTTTAAAGGGGACCTATCATGCAAAATGCACTTTGTGATGTATTTTATACATAAATATGTGTCCCCGGTGTGTCAGGGAACCCACGCAGCGTCAGAAAATAAAACCCTCTCTCTTTTCCTCCTTACCCAAATCTCTAAAAACGGGGGTACAACGGAGCTGATCCAGATATGCGTCCGATATGACGGTATAACGGAAATGTAGGCTGGCTTTACACCCACGGCCCTATCAGAAACGTTGCCATCAGAAACAATCCCCGACTGTTTTGGACGTAATATGGTCGGTGTTCACAGTGGCATCGCTAACACTCAGAGCTAACCTGTACTGGAGAGCATACTGTGTGAAGAAGCAGGAAATCAAAAGGAACTCACCTTGTGGTATAACCGGCAAGAGAGAAAGCCTTTGAGCTCCATACTGTTTCAGAAATAACCCTTGATAATCCATGATATGGCGTTTCAACACGGCAGCATTTAGTTTAGACAGTAGCTGCCGGCTCCCGCATGAGTTCAGCGCCCCTCCCAAATCAGCACTTTTGAAAAAGGAAGTGAAATGGAGATATGAGGCATGGCTAGAATGGGTGATCTGTTTGGTATTTTGAGCAAAATACTTCATAGATATGTTTTTTTATATATTTGTATATATCTGAGACCTATGCTATTGCCTAAAGATAGCATGATAGGTGACCTTTAAGAACATTTAAAAAGCAACTTTTGAAAAAGTTTGTTTATGTTATTTGTTGAATGAAAAAGAAAAACGTAATAAAAGAATATTGGCACATATGTTTCTTCAAAATCCTCACCTATTACAGCAACACAACATTTGACTCCTACTATCCTTTAAAAAAACACAAACAAATAATAAAATAGGTAATAGAAGGTATACAGAAGGTTACAATAAAGACACAAAATTTAATTACAACAAAATGTACAAAATATGATGTCAAATAGGTGTTATTAGCTTGATGCAATAAGAGTGTATATCTCTCAGCCAAGGCCCCGTGTGGAACAGTCCCAGTGACTCACTGGTGCCTGTGGTGTAAATAACCAGAGCGGCTATATTTAAGATCTGCCTTCCCCTTACTGCTGCATTATTTATACTCCCCTGTGCCACACTGAACCTCCTCCCCCTCGGGAGTAATGGAACGAAAGAGGAGGTCGATTTCAATCTGCTTTACGCTGTTGTTTATGATGCACACTGATTATATCTAGAACATTTTATTTATCTCTAAAGCAAAGAAGAAGCTTACCGTATGTTGTTGTGTCTTTTTCCATGCTCGTTTGAAGGAACCTCTGAGGGGCTTTTGACATTAATTTGTTCAATGAAGCCGGCATAAGATAAATGTTCTGACTGCAGGCTTAGATTTGTATTGAATTAGAGTAATTCTGTTAACAGGACTACAGCTGCTGCCTGATTTATCATCCTCTGCAGCAAAACATATAAAAGGCTCCATTTACATGCTCAGTTATCCACGCTAACAAGTGTATCCTCTGATTGCTGTGAAATTACTAGACTACACTTATTTAAGAAAACAAATTACACCATGCTATATGCATTTATATAGAATATAATGAAAGGTAAGCCAATACTTTACCTCTCAGTCTGTCAGTCCACTGTTTGTGCGTTTATGTCCAGTGTGGTCCTAATTCCCGCCCCAAACACACACAACACACAACACACACACCCCTCAGCGTGTCCTGTAACTGGACCACAGACGTGGGGTGGAGGGTTGTGACAGAAATAAACACGTGATGACGCCCCTGCCATTGCCCAGTCCCACCGACTGCGATTCACACACACACACACACTACACTTTCTACCTTCGCTCACCGCCGTCGTTGGGAATCAAGAGGTTTATAGAAGGGACATGGCGGGGCTGTTGTGTGGGACTAAGAGGAAGAAACAAGGTACATTTGTTTGTTGTGCTTTGAGGAACTTGGAAGTGCAAGGGGAAGCAGGAGATTTACCTTAGTGCAACTGTAGGTTAATGTCCACTAATGTTGCTGTAGAGATCATCAAGATGTGTTAGTCACTACAGAATAGATTGTGTGCGTCTCTGTGAGAGATTTTGATTTATTTCTGGACCGACAAGTGGAAATATTTTCACTTTTATAAATCATTCTGCAGAGTTTTGCCTGAGTAAATTAATGATATTGTATAATTTGACCATTTTATACCAGATTGTACTTGACTGTGTGAAGTGCCAGCAGCAGTTATGTGGTCAAATGGACAGCGGGGGGGAAAAGGAAACACAATTATGATGAAATGCGGCGAGCTTGCTCTGTAATTACAAAGCAAACTGCTGATCTGAAGTGAGATAGTGGATATTCAGCTCTTATGGGACGGCTGAATCAGATAGGAAATCTGTGGGGACCGTTGCTCCCGGGGTAAATATATACAGTTTATCCTCTTTGTACATGCTTTGAAGTAGAGATTTCATCATAAACACACAGTCCTAGACTTGCTTTCATTATATCCCGATTACGAAACGCTATTTTACATGCTTTTAATTTAAAAACCGGTTCAAATTTAAGCTCAAATTGGGTTTTCCTTGCATACGTTAAAAATAGCAATGTCAATGAAATGACTTGACTATTGATTGTGTTTCATCCAGTTGCAGGTTGTACAAATTGAAATGTGGGATAATAAAAGCACTATGGCCATTAGTGGAAGAAAGCCTTTAAATCCCTCGAGTGTTTCTTCAGTCAGAAGTAAAAGCATCTCAGCGGAAATTGATTTTATTCAATGCCAAGTGTGTGTTACTTTTTCTGTGTCTTGTCCCCTTTAATCAGCTTTCTTGTTTACAGTTTTACTCCATATTCTGACTTTGGATACATTTTAAGTTTGTTTACACTGGATAAATAAATGTAAATGGACACTGTCGCCCACCAAGACAATCTGTGGTGGAAAGGAAAGAATCTCACATGGTCGGAGATAAGTGACAGACCCTCAGGCAGCAGTTAAACATCCCTGGATAAACATTTCTTACAAAAACTCTCAGCTAGATAACAGTGCATTGTTTGCAGGATTTCTTATCATCACAATATGGTTCATCATGGCGAGTGAATGGTTGTAATATACTTTATAATACAATACCTTATAATGTGGAATTGGGCATGAAACTATTCTAACTACAAACTATTAGACTTTGATGAGTTTGTCCTATACGTGAAGTACAAACGCAAATTAAATAAATACATCATAGCAACAATAATTCACATATGATTCTGATTTCTATGGCATCAAATCAAGTATGACGTTTAAAAAATAAGTTTCTTAAAAGCGCACTGTGCCAACTTAGTACTGCACGCATATCACATTGTTGGACTCATTATAGACTTTTTAAAATGATCAAAATTGAGGCAGCAGATCCAGAGATACTATACATTATTGTTCCTTGTCAAAACCTAGCTCCTACATTACCCACAATGCAACTCAACCACTTCAAAATTGCTCGGAGAGTCAGGATTTTAAATGCTCGTCGTAGTGTCTTATGGAACTAATAAAGCCGCTCAAGCAGGACTGGTGGACTCACTTCTAACTCAATTCCCCGCAATATCTTTTTCAAACTTAGTCTTCAGCCCCATTCCATGCTGACTCAAATGACAACACTTTATTTTCTCACATATACAGACTGTGAAACTGATTCAGAGAAACCTTTAGAAATATCCTTTTGTTCAGCTTTGACTGTCACTGATTGAGAAGATGATGGTGGAGTGACTGAAGTGGAGTCTGTAGAGGAGGAGAAGGGGCTACATTTGACTCAGAATCGATTCAAAAGTAACACCTGACTTTCCCCACAAGGACTGGGGGTGCAACAGTGACTCTGACAAGCTTTCTCTTTAATGCCATTTATTGCTGTCCCACACTCTTTCCTTGCTCATCTCACGGTGGTATGCCTCCTTCATGTCAAGTCTTTTTCTGTTGATTTGTTTTATCTAATTAGTTGTGCATGTCTTTAATGTTCTGTGTGTGTATTCTTGTCTTACCAGTGAGTGATCTCCATGAGGAGGGGAAGAATGCCATCAACACTCCCATGCTTCCCACGGGGACAGAAATCTATCCGGAGGACACACTGATGGGTATACACACACACACACACACACACACACACACACACACACACACACACACACACACACACACACACACACACTCACTCACTCTCACACACACAAACACACACACACACACACACACACACACACACACACACACACACACACACACACACACACACACACACACACACACACACTATCTTATGTTAAAACACTACCATCTCTTTGAATGTGCGAATGTATGACTGAAGTTTGCTCTCTTGATGAATCTGCATTTCCAATATGATCAACTTGAGGTCACAGAGAAACATCAGAATATGTTGACACATTTGTGCTTAACAGGCACTTCGACATCTGAGCAGCAGGAAATGAAAGTGGGTGGAGGGGAGACGCCTCAGTCACCGTGTGAATCACTGTTGAAGTGAGAGTGACAGAAACATTGTATGAGTGTGTCTGTGTGTGTGTACATTTGTGTTTATGTGAGATCAAAATGTCTGCATGTGAGGGGGGAGATAGGTGTGTGTGAAATGAAACAGGATATTTAAGTGTCACTCTAAACTAAGTGTCTTCATTTTCTCGTATTATGTTCACCAGAGGAAAACGCAGAGAGGATCATGTTGGACCCAACATCGCGGGAAAATCTTAAATTTAAAGATCTTCTGAAGGTAGTCTGAGATTTTATGCATAAGCATTACATCTCTTCAGAACAATCACAGTGATGAAAATGTGAAGAAAAAAGCACAGAAAAGACAATAGATTTGTTTGCGTTGTGATTTGTATCCAGGTCCTGATAGACTGGATCAACAGTGAGTTGGAGGAAGACCGGATCATAGTCAAAGACCTGGAGGAGGACTGTTATGATGGACAAGTTCTCCAGAAGTTATCTGGTGAGGAACTGGTTTCTTTGGCAGTCTAACTCTCAAACCATCTTTGTCAATACATATTCTGTAGGTCTTTAAATTGCCATGCAACAATATGAACACTTGCAGAAATCGTAGAAGTAAAACATATTACAAAAAGCAATAACTTCTTGTATCTCTGGTATAAATATGTTTTTGTTTCATATTCTGAGTTTGATTTTTGATATTAGTCTATGACCAAAACATTGCCTTTTTCAACAAACTTGCTGCCAGTAGTCAACAATAATTCAATATTTTATTCTGTATGATTACATTTCTGTTTGCACCTGCAGCTGCAAAATAAAGAAAACCTAATTGGTTGTATTATCAGAAGTACATTTGCAGCAGTCCCAAAATCAATCAAAGTACATAGTGTTATCTCAAATAAGCCTTCTTTGACCCCTGGGACACCGTTATTCACACTGATGTCATTCCAATACTTCATTTTATTTGATTAAACATTCACATTTTGAGAAAATCTTATTAAGGAAAACCTATGGAATGACAAAGCCTGTCCAAAACATGTTCATTTCATTAAAAAACATGTTTGATAACTTCTATTGTTCTGTCCCCTGCCCTATGTAATGGATGTGTGTTCACTATGGTGGTGCTCTGTCTCGTAAAGCTTCAAAGTCTGTTCGTGGCTTCCCCCTTGTGTCTGTTATGTGTAACAGCAAGAGCTAAATATTTTCAGATTTCCACAATATACGCTGGGTTAGGGTTAAATCTTCCCCTTCTGCTACACAAGTGCCATTTTAGACAACACGTGTAGTCTAAAATAGATTGGAAAAAAGCCTCTTCTTTAAACCAAAGTGTCTGTAAAATGAATATAATGTAATGTCATTGTCGTATAGAAACAATATCATTAATGCAGCCTGACAAGAACTTGCATATTCATTTACGGAAGCCAGGTAATACAAATAGGACTGACACATATGTTACAGAATTGTCACGAACAACAACTAAAACACACAGCAGGAAATATTTTATTAAGAGACGTGTGATTTCTTTCATTTCTATTAAGGCTGTTGTTGTTTTCACACTTCTTTGTTACTTCTGCACCTTCTGTACCGTCTTTTGCTGCATCAGTGCCTGTTTTAGATTTCCAAAGACACATAGGCTTTATTGTCAAATGCACATAAGCGAGGTTTTTGCAATGAAAATGAAAAATTGTTGAAAAGGATCTCCATAAATCCTTCTTCTTTGTATTGCTTGCGTCAGAGAATCTTTGTTGTCTAAAGCCCCCACATACATCTTCAAGATCACCATGTCTTTGTTTTCCAATAAACAAAACTTGTACTGTAAGCCTACTGATACTGTACGGGAACGAACAAAAACATTTTGTTTTGCACTTCTTTGGGACTTAACCTCTCTTGTAACTTTTGTCTACAGTTGACCTGTTCAGTACGTCACAACACTGTCCCATGATACATGATGAGTTTCCCTGAGTTTTCCTCTCATGTTGTTGACAGAAAAGTTGTCGGGCAGGAAGCTGAATGTGGCCGAGGTGACTCAGTCCGAGATCGGCCAAAAGCAGAAGCTGCACACGGTTTTGGAATCCGTCAACGAAATGCTGCGGCCTCATGGCTGGACCATTGAGTGGAGCGTGGACTGTGAGTTCACTACGACTTTAGAGATGTGCTACTTTGCTACTCCAGTGGTTAAGTTATAGCACTTCCATCATTTGGAGAATTACAAGAGACAGACATTTAAAATAAGGTCAAAACAGAGGCCGAGATTTCTTGACTTTCAGCCTGAAATATGGGTCAAGCTTAAATAATATTGGAGATTCCATTTTTCAAAATACAACGCAATACCACATTCTCCTTAAAACTCCACTTTGTAATGCAGGGTTTGTTTTTCAACGTTAAAAGTGGGGTAGGTAATTCACTTCAGAAATACTTTTGGTTATATTCCATGGAATGCTCTTGACATCCCGATAGCAATGAATACATGAAATGCTTTGACAATAAATACATAAAAACATTTCATCTGTGGAAGCCGTGGCGCTGTAAAAAGCACGACGACCAATCATCTGAGCCGGCCCGCCTAAAAGAACTGGATGAATAGCTGGTTTCTCCATTCTTACCTACCCTAACTTTAAGTCTCAATCCATTTTACTGCAAAAAACATTGCACAGCTGTTTTTACGGGCTGTGTCCTTGAGACAAGTCAACTTAATTTAATTTGCAAAATTGTTGGAATTCCCCCTCTGAACACATAATCTCTTGATTTGCATTACACAACATATTTAATCCTGTACGGGTTTTGAGAAGCTCTACAAACATCAGGGTTTCCTGCTGGAGCCCACCGATGAAATGCTTTATTACCTTTATGTCTCTTGATAAGAGCTGGATGTTATGTTACATTTTTAGAATATTGCTTTCTTCCGTTATCCTGCAGTGTGCAAAGATCTTATAGTCCTTTGCTTTGATTTACTGTCACAGCTATCCATTCAAAGAACCTGGTGGCGATCGTCTACCTGCTGGTGGCTCTGGCGATGCACTTCCAGGCTCCCATCAGACTGCCGGAGCATGTTTCTGCGCAGGTGGTGGTCGTCAAGGTAAAGTGGCTCAAAGAGCTCACACAGGGTTCACATTCATTATCATTATGTGCAGTGACGTAGGGATGGATACGGAGCTGTATAGTTATTCTGATTCAGTTAATTACCAGCCCCAACTGCGTACAGCTGGTGTATTTTATTGTAGTCACATTGTGGGTCTCTGTTTGTGTATGCATGGGTTCTTGGGAACACCAACTGTAGCATGAACTAACACTAGCTTTAATGTCTGTCTGTCAAATTCAACACCATGCCCTTTCCCAATTTGTTGGTGTGATTCTTTTGCAAGATTGATTGATTGATTGATTGATTGATACATTTTTATTTTGAACAAGTAAAATTACAAAAACAAAACAAATGTTGCAGTGCATAGTCATGTAAAACAAATCAAAACAAAAAAATGACCAAACAAAAAATGACATTTACAACAACAACAACAACAGCATTAGCAACATAAACAGTGCCACATCTAATTTTCGAAAAGGAGTGAGAAGAAGTATAACTTATTTAATCTCACCCCCTTGTCCCTAAATGATTTATTTATAATTTGTAATCTGCAATAATTATCATTTTTATGCATTATTATTGATATTATTAGTATTATTAATCGGCTTTATCTGTTGATTGACATATATACATATACACATATACATACACAAGACTCAGTTAAACTTGTATTTAACCTTCACCGAGATTAGGAATGTCTTATTAAACTTATATGAATGAGTTACAGTCAAACAACATAAGACATATCGTGGCGTGCACAGACATTTATAGGAGCAGGTGCTCAAGAGAAAAAAAGGGCACCTTCTGAGTCGTCGTGGCGCCGAAATTGTGCGCTCCGAAATTGTGCGCGAAAATTTGCCGGATAATGGCGGATTTTGTTAGTTTCTTTTCGGTTTTTGGTTACTTTATTTCGGTTTTAGGGTTAGGGTTATGTTATTTAATTCTTATTTTTGCCTGATTTATTACTGATTTATTATCAAAAAATTAATTATTTTAACATTTATTTTTATTATTCTAAATGACTTAGGGGGGTCCAATCTGAAGCTAGGGGGGGGACGAA